AATTAGCACTTCTAGCATCTATTGCTTCTTCTTGTTGAATCGCTTAATGCTGCTTCTATTGAAAGTCGCTTTGGACAAAAGCATCTGCTGAATGACTAAACGTAACTGCTAACCTATGCAACTTGTCCTTTAAGATTAGTGTCAAACAATTAAATAGCGTATATCTCAGTGAAGTAGTATGTGATGGCAGGAATATAAGCACACGTGTGACATTGGGTGCAAACTGTTACAACAGCTCTGCTACTAATTCTGGGGCTTGCCTTGAGGCCGTGCTAAGAATACATGATGAAATGGGTCAACAGTGCAGTGATATAAAGTCTTTCACACTTTTAAATGTCCATCAAATCATCATTATGGCTCGGGTTACTGGAGTCCTGCCTGACCTTAGCCGCCAACACACAAACGACTGCATAAATCACAGCCGGATCAAACAAAACGATGCCATTAAGTTTTAAAGGGTGCCATTCATCCTACATTTCAGCTCTTAACCTGGAATTTTTTTTTCCTCTTTTAGATTCGATGTTTCATCTGAGTTCTAATAAAAATGTGAGATAATGTGCAAATTGTCTGGCGGATGAGTCACATCCTGAAGCCCAGCAGCTGCAGTAATAAACACTATTACTGGATGCAGATCTCTGATCTGTAACAACAACCACATTCAAATATTTATCTGATTTAATTAGAGGAGGAGGAAAAATAAGAGCTGAACTATCATCTTTAACAGTGGTCAACTATGACAGTAGATGCCAGATGGTTTACTTTAAGGAAGGAGATCATACAAACAGTGACTATGTTTACATGGACATCAGTGATCAAAGTATTTGCCCTAATCTGAATAAGACAAGAATATGATGAAGCTGTTTATATGAGTTACTTTTTAAATGCTTCTTTCAAGATCCTGTTTTACATATTATAGCACACAGTTTGATTAACCCAGGTGTCCAAAGTCGGTCCTGGAGGGCCGATGTCCTGCATATTTTAGTTCCAACCCCAATTAAACACACCTGAACCAGCTGACCAAGCTCTTTCAAGGTATACTAAAAACTTCCGAGGAGGTGTGTTGAAGGAAGTTAAAGCTAAAAAATGCAGGACAACGGCCCTCCAGGACCAAGTTTGGACACCCCTGGATTAACCCTTGTGCACTGTTCAAAAATGGACTTCCCTTTTGTTATGTTAGGGATGAAAACATGCACTGAATTAAACTGCTGTAAACATGCATCAGTTAATTTATTTAATTTTATTTTTTGCATAAATCTGTTAATCATCCTCAGTCCTGATAAAAACAACTAAATGTTTAGCTCTTTAATTGCCAAATTCATAAATGACGTCACTGATTTGGTGAAATAAAACACAAAATGACATGTTTTCAATATAAAAGGTATTTGAGGACTTGATTTTTTCTACCTTTTATCAAAGTCTTGGACATGTGAATGATTAGTAATACGGATGTCCCAATCAGGTTTTTTGCCCTCATTTGATTGAGTATCTCTTCCGATACCGAAACCTGATCTGATACTTCTATAATAAATAAAAAACAGAATGAATAAGAGCGAAGAAACAGTCCCAGGTGGGAGTCAATCCATTGTGTGGTAAGCCTTAGAAGACATGGGAGCTACGGGCGAACTCCAGATGTCTGTATTGAATGAAACATGCGGCACATCTTATAACAGGACAAGTAGGTCGGCACCAGTGGTGTTGTGGTTAGTGTGTCAACACATGCACACCGGTGTTCACGGCGACCCGAGTTCGATTCCGCTTCGTGGTCCAATGCCGACCCTTCCCCTCTCTGCTCCCCATGCTTTCCTGGTAATTCTCTCTACTGTCCTATCGAATAAAGGTAAAAACCCCTAAAAAATATTATAACAGGACAAGTAGTTTGTCAGAAGTCTTCTTATAAAGGGCTGGCAAAGCTTTCTCTGTGAAATAGTAGCGAGACGGCATTTCAAATTGAGGTTCAACGTTTGTTTTTGAGGCTTCTTATCAGATTGATTGTGTTAAATGTTGTCTTTTCTCTTCTACCTCCTGCAATGCCAAGATTGCATATCACACAATGCTGGCAATGTAGTCGACATCAACTTTTTGTGTGGAGTCAAAAAGGTCTAACTCTGTGCCACCGCATTATATATATATATATATATAGTACTCGTCAGAAGGTAACGTCCGATTCTGATTGAGTCTAAAATCGTGTGTTCCGGCACGATTTCTGATCATGTGATCGGATCTAGACATCGCTAATAAGTAACAACATCGGCTTTGATGCATTCCTAGATTTTTATTTTTTCTTCCTAATTTACTGTTTGTGGCTGTTTTTGCCCCATTGACTTCCATTATAACCACATTCGATGGTGCATAAACACACAGTCTTCGTTTTTGTTTACTCCATGTAGTTCTGTGAGCTAAGATGCATATTTTGATTTTCTCAGTAGCATCAAGGTAAGTGCGCTCACACACTCGCAGACACACATACATACATTTGAATTTGTTGTACTCCATTTATAATCCAGAAATTAAATGGGTTATCTAAAATTATCTAAAGGGTTAATGGTGACAACTGATGATCAACAGTAAAAATTACACAGTTGAACTCTTCCCAAGGGGGAAAACCACCAACAATCAAAAATGTATGATTATGTGGTGTCATGGTTTTGTAAAAAAAAATGTGGTTATAATGAAAGTCAATGGGGCAAAAACAGCTGCCAACAGAAAATTATGGAGAAAAAAAAATTAAATCAATCAAAAGCAATGCATTCAAAGGCAATGTTGTTTGACATGTCCAAGACTTTGATAAAAATCCAGTCCACAATTACTTTTTATATTGAAAATGTGTCATTTTGTGTATTTTATAATTTATTTTGTCATTTTTTGTCAAATTTATTTTTGTCATTTTGGGTATTTTATTACTCCTATAATTTTCTAAACAAATTAGTAGTTTTGATCAGGGCTGAGGTTTATTTATGCAAAAAAAAAAAAAAAAAAAGTTATCAGATGCATGTTTACAGCAGTTTAATTCAGTGGATGTTTTCATCTCTAACATAACAAAAGGGTAGTTAATTTGAACAGTGCACAAGGGTTAAAGGTTAATAAAAAAATTGCATTACTTGTAAGTAACTTATGGAATGATGAATAGTTTGCCATGGTCTTGTATTAAAACTCATTTCTTTTTATTGGCGATTAATAATAAACACATTTTCTGTGTGTCAGTTACTAACCTCTAAATCAAACACTATTTATTTCTGCATAAACTACCAAAACATTGAAACCAAAATCACTTTTTACAGTATATCAATCTCAAAGCATATTGTATACTGTTGATAATTAGTTTAAGCAAACCAGTCAGAAACCATAATGTTATAACACTAAATGCTTATTACATGTTATTTTTCATGTGATACATGGTCTTCCTAGCATGTTTCATCAGTTATATTGAAGTCTCTTGGCAATGTGCGCTTTACGTAAGTGACATAGTAACATTAAAAACAAAACATCAAACAAAAAGTCTTGTACTTTGTTTCCCCCCGTTTTTGATTTTGTGCACAGAATTATAATTAATATATTAATAATTGCCTTGAAAAAGGGTTTATAAAACTGTGTTTTGCAGAGATTAGACTCAAAGGCTTTAGCAAACTGCTGCTTTTATAATTATTCTTTTGTAAATATTCATTTAAAAGCTTTCATTTTTCAGCAGAATGTAGATAACATAGTTATTCTGCATAATTAATTTTGATTTTGAAATATATCTTAGATTTTTTTTTTTTTTTTTTTTTAAGGCAGGGAGTCCTGCTGTTTGGCAATTGCTTATGTCTTCAAACCTAAAGGCATAAAGTAGTCGAAACCCAAAATACTGTACTTCAGCATTTTTCTTTTTGCCCTCATCATTTATCTGTGCAACAATTGAACTGCATATTGTGGGAATATTATTTTACGCTTCCTCGTTCCAGACCTTAAAAGAACTAGTTTTGTGTGGCAGATGTTTTAAATGCAACTTTTTAGTAACTATTGCTTAACATTTATTTATTTATTTTCTTGTCAGCTTAGTCCCTTTATTAATCCGGGGTCGCCACAGCGGAATGAACCGCCAACTTATCCAGCACATTTTTATGCATCGGATGCCCTTCCAGCCGCAACCCATCTCTGGGAAACATCCACGGACACATTCACACACACTCATACACTACGGACAATTTAGCCTACCCAATTCACCTCTACCACGTCTTTGACTGTGGGGGAAACCGGAGCACCCGGAGAAAACCCATGCGAATGCAGGGCAAACATCCAAACTCCTATTGCTTAACATATATATTGAAAATGATTCAAATTCTTAGAAATTGAAACTAATAAATAAATAATAGAAAATAAAAATAAATTTAGATACATTTTACAAACAAAACTCTTTATGGCTAAAATCACATTGCAAAAAGTTCATGATTTCGAATAATTGATTCATGTTGTTCCAGCACAAATAGATTAGGTTTATTTATTTATTTTTGGACAAATTTAAGTGGATTGAACAAAATAATTGCATTCAAGTCCCAGATGATCCAGTTGGCATTTCTGTCCTGGTGCTCCAGTTTTCCCTACAGTCCAAACACACGCGCTATAGGTGAATTGGGTAAACTAAATTGGTCAGAGTATCAGTGTGTGTGAGTGTGAATGGGTGTTTCCCAGTACTGGGCTGCGGCTGGAGGGCATCCGCTGTGAAAAACATATGCAGTAATAGTTGGTGGTTCATTCTGCTATGGTGACCTCTAATAAGTCAGAAACTAGGTCGAAGAAAAATGTATGTTTTTTTTAATGAAATATTTCACTCAACTTTCTAGCAACGCTCTCTTTTTCTTCCTCTGTATTTCTTTATCGCATCATTCCTTATGTAATCGAATAATCAGATATTCATTCTCATTAAGTGTCTTGGCCTTGTCCTTTTTTTAACTTCCATATTTTTTTTCTTTACAGAATGGATGAGGGTAATCACTCGCATCTTTTTTTTATATATATATTTGCAGATCCTTCAAACACTTGATTGGAGGTCTTGACGACGTCTCAAACAAAGGCTATGATGATGCTGGCGCCAAAGCAAAGTAAGTCCAACACTCGACATCTTTTGATGATATTATCAGACTGTATGGAGCCATATACATGAAACTGATTCTTTGTGATTCAGTCAAGGATGGTGCATTCATAAAATCAAGCTTGTACAGTGTTTCATTCCCCCTCCCCCTTATTTTCTACACTCTAAAACCTACAACAACAAAGTATAGAGAATCAAGACACAAAGTAAACCCTCTGCCTTCATTAATAACACTTTTGTCTGCTCTGTGAATTCATCTCTCCTGTAATAAGTTCAGCCTGAATGATGAAAGTCCACAGGCAGAAATTAATTGGTCTTTGTCTATTTTTTATTTGATTTGCATGTCTGGTCATGACTTCGACCTCCTTGTGGCTATAATTATCTCAGCTAGACAGGTTTTCAGGAATGAAGAACAAAATATGAACAAATGCGTTATAGTTCTCACCATATCTAGAGACACGTCCAGATTGCACAAACTGTCTACCCATGATGGATTTCAAAATAACACAGATTATTATTAGAAACGATGCTATCAAAAGTGCAAAATGTAGGGCTAAGTCAGCTGAGAACTTATAGTGCTGTGTTTCGAAACAGAAAATGAAAATACTCTGAAGCAGCAGCTAATTTAGTCGTTTCTACAACTTAAATAATTCCCAACTTCCTGCGGCGTGAACATGATGGGCTTTGATGTATACAGTCTTACAGATCAGTACAGGTTGTTTAGCTCTTTTGTCAGAATTTGAATGATTGAGTATATCATGATTAAGGTAATGACTAGATGATGTTTGAACAAGCCATGTCAGTGACTTGCATTTTAAGCTAAGCAACATGCCAAAGCAACATGGAAACCTGCAGTGATCCAAGTGTGCCCTCTTGTGGCTACATTAGATATACATGTCCAGTTCAAACATCGCAAATTAGTATTCTCTTGACAGTGTAGAATACTGTTTGGTTTTAATTATATGTTCACTGTTTTTAAATTGCTGTAGACTGATAAACCTAGTTCAACAAGGCATGGAGTGTTATGTTGCACTAAAATGAATTAGTGTTCTATTTTACAAGGTTTGTGCCCAGTACAGCGGCCTGAAGAAGTATAATTATATGCAAGTAACTTGCAGATACTGTATGAGGGGGTGGTTTCAATATGCATGCAATTATATAGCTGCATGTTGTTGAGTGCAAGCTGTAAATAGATGTGATAATAGATGCGTGTTTAATGAAGAGAGTGCTTGTTAAAAGGCCAGACATGAGCACGAGTTGAGGCTGAAGTGCTGAATTATCAAACACAAATTAACCAGTAGCTGTAGTCTGTCTTTTTTTTTTTTTACTTTAGTTGTATTTACGGATTAATTCATCAACAAACAAACAAACAAACAAACAAAAATACTATCGTCATTTACTCATCTATGTATTTTTCCAATCCTTATGACTTCCCAACCCAAAAAGTGACATTTTGAGACCTGGTTTGTTTTGGTTAAATTCGATTTGAACTGATTTTTTTCCAGTACACAGTGAACAGTACTAGTATATCACTGACAAATGATGTGGATTAAATACTGAGCTGATAACCATTTCCCCTGATATTTTAGTTTTTAGTAGCTGAATCACCATTGTTCTCTGATCAGTCAAATGGGTATGTTGCACTGTGACAAGATACTCTATACAGCACAAAATAATAGCACTGAATGATGTTATAAATGCCTAACATCCATTATTTTTGACTGGAGGCTTGTGTTAAATTATTTACACATTACCATTTTGGAACATATGGTTGCTTATTTTTAAAGAGCCCCTATTATGCATTTAAAAAGGTCATATTTTGGTTTTGAGGGTCTATTACAACAGGCTGATGTGCATGGAAGGTCAAAAAATACTTTCATTGTCTCATTTATTTTTACCTAATTCTCCCATCGACTCCCATATGATTCGTTCAGCAATTTATTTGTCTCCAAACCCCTCCTTAGGGCAATGCTAATCTGCGCTGATTGGTCCGATGACCCAGTCTATTGCGATTGTTCGACTGCATTCAGCGCGAGACAGAGAAAAACACCCACCACGACTTATCAACAATTTTAAGTAGTCAAATTGCAGATTGTATGTGTGAGCCCAACACAGGAGCGCATTAAAGCAATGCAGTTTAACACCAGCATATTGCTGTATTCGCAACCATGACACACATTCAGTATTAATCCACACAGTGGCAAAAGCTGAACTATTTTACAACTTGACCACAGCAAGAGTGTAGGAACAGCTGACGCTGGCAATGACAAACGGCAGTGGAACGCGAGTTCACAAACACATTTAAATCTGTAAGGAAAGTGGCACGCGTCATGTTTTCAACGTGGTTTTAGACGCGATATAAGAATATAAAGAGTTAAGCAGATACAGTAAAAGCCACGTAGAGCAGTTACGAGTAACAAAACACAATTTAATACACATTTTAAAAGCTAAAGAAAACAGGGAGGCAACCATTTTAATCGCACTTAAGTTACTTACACTTGTGAAATGGAGGAAGAAACTGATCCATGAACTGTGTACTGTAAAGTTCATGTCAAGCTCTGACAGCCCCATACATCAAAAGTCTTTTCTGATCCATCCTTCAACAAACGGCCGAGGAATCCCCCATTGTAAGCATGTGGATTGCTGAAGCACTTGTCAGAAAAATGACGGGAACACAGCAGAACACTGGGGCTTATAATGTTGAGGTTTTTTTTGCAAAAATAAACTTGAACCACTGACTCTTCACAGCCTCATCCTTGGGTAGGGAAAATAACCCTAACTTTCCCTCACACTTCAGAGCACAGCGTCTTTGAGATATGATTCAACTGGGATCTGCTACAGTGTTTGTGGGCGGGTATTTCAATTTTCCCGGGTCTGTGCGTCCAACAAATGTTCTATTTCAAGTTCTGTATGAACGTCACACCCACACGGTTAAAGATTCATTACCATAACGATTTATTTGAACCACTAAGAGTCAACTCTTTTATCGATTAATCAATAGTTTTAAGCACGGTGCACTTTCAGAGTTAAGCCTTAGCTGGATATTTCACCTCACGTAAAGTTGTGCTACACAATGCATGGAAGGTCATTTTCAAAAACCCAATGTTTAAATCACAAAAAAAAAACTTAAATGAAACTGAATTCTAAGAGTTAATTTGATTATCTTGATACTATTTCTACTTTTATTTTTGTATATTTTACAAATCAAAACTTGCAAAACTGATACAGAATTTTATTAATCGAGAACTGATGCATAAGGGGTCCTGAACAAGCACCTATATATAAGTTGAAAGTGTTCTAAGAAAGGCAAGACATGTCTAGAACCACTAAATAATTTGTTGTGCATATGTAAGTATTAAAGTGACCCAACTGAATGAGAACTGATAGGATAAACAATTGTTTGTTCAGTGTATAAGCTCTGAAAACGTCTTTGGTTATTTACTCCCTGTTCTGTGTGGGAATTGAACAATCATTTTTGGCATTTGAGGTGGGTTTGCTAACAAGGACATGTCCTCTAGCATATCTTTCGAACCCAGGGGAGTGTGACTAGCTGGTCTCTGTAACATTTACCAATCTTTTATACCTGTCACGACCAAATTGGTCACAGTGTAACCCCTCACTTTCTACTCTGAGTGAGATTCAAAGCAGTCTTTCCAAACTGGCTGGCAGGCACACTTTGCGAGCCTCATGCATTCTTTAGAAGCCAGAGTTGTGATGTGTACCTATTTACTATTAGTAGCTGGCCTTGTTACATTCACTACCCTAAACCTCGCTCTCATTTGGGTCACAGAACCAATGTAACCCTTCCAGTTATGTATACCCACGACCTCACTGCGAGTGGGATTAAAGTCAGAAATTCCAGCATGGCAGACAGGCACACTAACAAGAATGCAAATAACTGCAGACTCCAGCTCATCTTCTGGGGCTTGGAGAGTAAAGTTTACCTGCTCCACTCTTACTAGCTAGCTTCTGTTTCACTCACTCACTAAAACCTCACTTCTTCTGGGTCACGACACCAATGTCACCCTTCCAGTTATGCTCGCCCGCTCTGAGTGGGATTTGAACTTGAATTTTGTGCATGAGAGACAGGCACACTAACAAGAACACTAGGACCGCAGCCTCTAATGCACCTCTTGATGCCAGGGAAGTGAGGTTTACCTAACAGCTCTTACAAGCTGGCCTCCGTTACACTAAGTATCCTGACCCTTGCTGTCTTCCAGTTCACCAATGTAACCTGTCCTGTTCCCCTTGATCCAAATCTGAGTGGGATTCAAATCAGCATTTTCTGCATCACAGACAGGCACACTAACAAGATCCCTAAAGACTACGTAACCCCTTCTGGTCACTTAATCATGAGCAGGAGTTGAACTAGCATTTTGGCATTAGAGACAATGGCTGTTTCTTAGTATGCTTTTTTAAGTGATCTTGCGTGCTTGTGTTCATGTAGCATCATCATCAACCGCCAAATTTCAGTTACAATACTCAAGAACGAAAGGCATATAACAGAACCCAGATGCTTTCTTGATATCGAGGATGCATCAATGAAGACTTGAGCACAGTACTCACTTTAAAAGTCCCATAAGCCATTGTAAGGCTTTTTCATTCATTTGTAAGGCTTTTGTGCATGTCATATATATACTGAAAATAAATAAAAATCTTAAATGGTTTAACGAATGATATAATAGTTAATGATTTCACGTTAAATTGTGTGAAGGTCATGTGACCCTCAGGATAAATGCAGCATATCATTCCTCACAGGATGTGTTCTCTGTTCTCGCGAGATCGTTCTTCCGAAGTAACTTGGCAAGACTGCTCTCTACGAGAACACAAGTCGATTCTCTACCTTCTTGCAATTGAGAAACAGCCAAGCACACCAACAACGACAATAAAAAGACACACCACCTAAGCACATGGTAGTGATGCTTACTCGCACAACTCTTGCTAGCTGGCCTATGTCCCTTCTATTCCCTCGGCCTTAGTCACAGGATATGGAACTTCACTGGTTGTCTTCGCTTTTCTCAGAGTGAGACTCAACTCTGCATTTTCCGCATGAAATGCAGGTCCACTAACAAAGACACTTAAGACTGCCGCTTCCAGCTTCACCATTTGGAGCCAGAGGAGTTATGGTTTACCCACAAAGCTCTAACTTCCTGGTCTCCATTACACTGATGCTCCTTAACTCAATCCCATGCACGTCACAGCAACAGTCACTCTTTTGATTCTAATCACCACATTCGGAACAAGGTTTTGACTGTTGTTTTGGGTATGGAAGATAGACACACTAACACTTGAAACCTTGATAGATTATTCACACAACTGTAACTGGCCTGCTTTACACTCATTGTTGGTATCCTGCAGAGATTAATTCCAACCTTAATTAGACATACCTGAACCAGCTAATGAAGCTCTTTCTAGGTATTTGATTAGGGTTAGAGTTGAACTCTGTTGGACTAAGCTCACCTATTACTACCCTAATTGTTACTTCTCTCCCGGTCACAGCACCAGTGTAACCCTAGCACTTCTAAGTGCTCTGCTCCAAGTAGGATTCAAACTGGTACTTCCAGCATGAGAGGCAGGCACGTTAACAGAGACACTTAAGATTGTAACCTCTTGAAGCCAGGAGAAAGAGGTTTACTTATACAGCTTCCAGCATCCAGGTCTTGGTACTAGTGTATC